AAAAAGTAAGTCTGCTTGCAAAGATAGCTATGATGGAGAATATTGCGACGAAGAAAAGACAAAGATAAAATTTCAAGTATTTTACTGCTCAGTTAACATGACTGACATTATGAAAATAAAAATTTACGTTGTAAAGATATTAGCTACTTCAAAATTTCTGTAAAAGAAATGAAAACATCTTCAAATGAAATTTGATATTATGCGTGACGTCATCTTATGTAGATGAGTTAACGATCTTAATGTGCTTGTCTCAAATGAACACTGCAAAAAAATATAATGCAAATGAGCACACGATTTATATTATATTTAGTTAGATACGTGATACTTAGAAAAACATGCGACAATAATACAGGAAGGGTAAACATGTTTTCCCAGCGGGTAGCTTTGTGATTTCAAATAATATCAACAACAAGTTTCTTACCAACTTGAAGTAAATCGAAAATGGGATTTACCAATACCAAATAGTAAGGGTTATAGCAAATTTTTGAATGTCGAATTCAGGAAATTTCTAAAATTTGGCGCCATATCAGCAGAGAAAAATTATTCTCAAGAGACGGTTCAAACTATTGTCCCATTCAAATAAAAAGCGAATTAACATTCTTTGAATAACTTTCCATAGACAAACGATAGAGGCCTGCGATTTTTACCACTCGAAACACCAGTTTCCGGGCAAAAATTCTTTATTAGATTCAAATTGTCAATACGAGCTATAGGTATCAGACACTACTCCAACTTTTATAAATCTATGTCATTTTTAGAAAATGCATTCATCAATCAGGCTGAATATCACAATATATAATTGTAACTGCCTAAAAAGCATATTTCCGATGCAATCAAAGAATACAGAATCCGAGTAGACATGGTAAATTGTGAGAAAGTTGATATTCTATAAAAAAAAAACGTGCTACTCTGTTAATCACGACTTGCCAAGTTTGAGAATTGTGTTACGATGCTCATTTTGTGCGATAAATTCATTACTCATTAAAGCCATATGCTCTTTAAAGTTACATGCGAAACATTCATGCAAAACTCTTGTGAATTGGCATGGGTTGCAATATAAACGTATGTTAGAGAATACAACATCAACTTCGGATTGAAAGATGTTCAACGATTGGCTTCTGAGTAGCTAGGTGCTTAAGATTTCTTCAACGTCAAAAGTTACATCGTTCATGCACAAGAAAACGAACTCGCTTTTAGACGAGGAGACACAGATGCTGAACAGATCAAATAATCACTGACTGGTGATGATCATGATATAGATACAGTGACAGACTCGGGTGATTAGTTAGAGAACGAATCAGATAATGAAACGCGCGACGAAATGGATAGTGAAATTGATAATACTACGAACAATGCAATGAATGATGTAACAGACCATGACGTTTACGCTGATGCCGATAATTGATATATGTTTTGTCATTTGGGTGCAGGTAATAACTTTCTCACAATTTATTTTTTCTACTCGGATTCTGTACTCTTTGATTGCATCAGAAATGTACTTTTTAGAGAGTTAAAATCATACATTGTGATGTTTAGTCTGCTTAATGAATGCGTTTTCTCACAGATTATTAATTCTTGAAGGAAAATAATATTGTGTTTTGACGTCATTCGGTTATTCCTAGTAAAATCGGTGCCCTCTGTAAACAACACATGATAAAAAACTGCAGCTTTCATGGTTCTATAGAGGATAATTTGGCATTTCTAACCAGCTAATAAACAAAAAATATTGAATGAAAATTCTAAAAATGACATGGGTTTATAAAAGCCAGAGTATTGTCTGCTACGTATGTCTTCTTCATATTTGAATCTAACAGAGAATTGTTGCTCGGAAGTCGGTCTTTCTAGTGGTATAAACTGCAGGTCTCTATCTTGTTCTGATCAAAATTTATTTAAAAAATGCTAAATCGCGTTTGATTTTAACTCGAACAGTAGACACTTTACTCCGTTTTCTTTTATATTCATTCTCATAATGATCGACTATAAAAGTGAGAAGCCCAAGAAGACATTTCAAAAGCAACATTGTCGTGCCTGAATTTAAATCTATTTTCCTTCTTTCTCTCATGTTGATACGTATATATATCCTTCTCTTGTAGTTGAGTTGTACTCTTTTGCAGCTAGAATAAAAAGCTCCTAACAAACATGATACTTGATACTCTTCTCGTATCTCTTTTTAAACGAATAATGTAACTCATTCTTACCTTGAAAATATTGCCATAACCTTCCGTTTCATCTTTCCATTTGCCTACCATTCGATTACGTCTATTATCTTGACAATTCACGTACATTTTTTTCTCCAGCATTTTTTGCACTCTCTATTTTCTGATTTCAAACCTACAGAAAGTATTTGTGAAAGCATATTTTTGCCTTGATACAAAGGCAAACGGATAGAGGTCTGTCCACATATAAAGAGGTTGCCAGTGCTGCTGACTGGATTTGTATAACAAGTTTTTCTAAACTGAAACATATTTTCGTAAATTTGTCTCAATGAGGAAAATATCTAGTAAAACACGATCTACAAAATTACTATTCATTGACCCATTTGCTCATCTCGTAAGACAGTTACAAGCTTAGAAATATACTTCACAAAAAAGAACAAATAATCGTGTATTTTTCAGAACACAAAAAAGAAAATAGCTGACTAAGTACAACTTGAGGACCTAACTCACTTACAAAATCACTTTAAAGTTGTTATATAATTAATGATAGATGCCAAACATGTTTATTCTAGACGAGAAATTCGTGGACTCGTAATTTCTTTGAAACAAATGAATCCTACATGGATGGTAGCCAACATTGTTGATGATCTATTCTTTAACGTTGCCCTTTTTAAGGGGGCGGAAGTGGTATCCTCATTCCAACATACCCGAAAACTGCCAGTTTAGAGAGATTATCTTCAATAGTATATCTGTATAATGAAGAAACATTCATCGAATATTGACTCAGTTATTAATCAATCAAGTTTAAAATTAATTGAAATTTTCACGTTGAGATGAATGTTTTTAAAGCTTTCTAGTTTTTAGTATAAATGTTACTTTCAGTTGATTTTGGTATAGTTTTGTAGAAAATCATTTGCAGATACAATTTCATGCAAAGAAGTTTAATGATGACTACTATGAGTACCTTCTCAATCACTAATTAGTCCTAATTAGTACTGATTAATAATGCTGCAGTAGAAAAGAGGAAATTTTTCCAATATTAAAACAAATGGAAAGAAATCGTGCAATGCTCCATTCCATAGAGCTTTTCAAGTTCTATTGATTGCTCAACTAGTTTATTTTGAAAAGGTCTATTTTCGAAAAAAAGAAGTCCGATACCATAGACAACCGGCTACAAATCGGGGTCGTATGTGGCGATTTATACCATTATACTTCTACTTAAGGCAAAAACTGGTATGATATTTAGAATCAACATCAAAAACTAAGTCGGATGATATATTTTTTATGCAAAAAAAAATTTGATGAAATTACACCTGAACTCCTCCTCATCCTTTTTGAAATAATTTCGTCCATAATCCGTCCGACCTACGATTTTGGAGAAAAAAAACTTTGCTTACAAAATATATCATCCGACTTAGTTTTTGATGTTGATTCTAAATATCATACCAGTTTTTGCCTTAAGTAGAAGTATAATGGTATAAATCGCCACATACGACCCCGATTTGTAGCTGGTTGTCTATGGTATAGAACTTCTTTTTTTCGAAAATAGACCTTTTCAAAATAAACTAGTTGAGCAATCAATAGAACTTGAAAAGCTCTATCGAATGGAGTATTGCACGATTTCTGTCCATTTGTTTTAATATTGGAAAAATTTCCTCTTTTCTACTGCAGCATTATTAATCAATACTAATTAGGACTAATTAGTGATTGAGAAGGTACTCCTAGTAGTCATCATTAAACTTCTTTGCAGGAAATTATATCTGCAAATGATTTTCTACAAAACTATACCAAAATCAACTGAAAGTAACATTTATACTAAAAACTAGAAAGCTTTAAAAACATTCATCTCAACGTGAAAATTTCAATNTCAAATGTATTGGAAAGTACTCGCCAGTTGAAGCTCTTTCATCCTATATATGATTGTGCTGGATATAGTATGAAAAGTCCAATGGGCCAAATTACGGTCTTATGCGCCCCCGTCCTTTAGAACAAAAATTTCTATAAAAAAGGATATTGTTAAGAGTATAGTATAACCGACATAAAAAGTATATTCTATCGGTCAATATTGTCATTATATTACGGACATTGAGTAAAAATGTCGGACTAAGAATTAATAATATACTGGGATATGTCAAAAAGAAATTATTACAACCATCTTAACCATTTTTGTAGTGAGAAAAAAGTTCTTGGAAATTCCCTCTATCTCTTATTGAAATTGTTTGCTTAGTCATATATAATATATATAATGAAATGGAATTCTCCATCATTATCTCGTTCGTATTATCAACCCTGTAATTATTCCGATCACGTTTGATCACTCTCTGTACATGTGATTCTTGTCTCTTGTCATGACCAATACGCTTGATGGCTTTTCCTTCTCTCTCTCTCACTGATATAGATATAAACATATGTACGTAAACAGATTAGAACAGATAGTAGTGTATGAAGGTATGAGCAATAAAGTGAACATGCTTACTACATGAGCATTCTTGTACTCAAGTTTGTCACAATATAGACGTATGGTTTTTCTGCCTTGTTCTTCTAAAATAAGCGAAAATAATATTGTAGTCAAAATTTTGTAGAATCCACATTAAAACTCATTCTTTTTGTTTCGAGTAACGTGACTCATATGTTCATTAATTCATTATTAAACTACTCAACTCACAAAAAGAGTCATAAAAATTTTACCCTCTTAGTTAACCTGCTAATCAGAATAGTATTATTGAACAAAAAGAAAGATCGAAAAAAAAACAATACGACAGAAAAATTTACCTCGTTTTAGTATTCACCAATAAATTACTTGATTATTTCAAACATACATTCTTTAACCTTTCTCTAGAAAAGATGTTCACACGTCCTCCTATACGTGTAATTATTATATTCATGATATGTGTTTGTATTCCTATGATTGTTATTATTTATCGAAATTTTGCTAATAATATGTTTCGTATCGAAATTAGTCAATTTTATCTTCCATTATGCAAATATTCATCCAGAATCACTGATAATCGCATAGTTTTCGATAATACATCATATTTTATTCCGCACTATCCTGAATTTATCTGTCCACAAAATTTTCGAAATTTGGCTGATTGGATTTTCAGTTGGCCTAAAAATACATTCAATGAACATATTGAAAATAACGCTAATGATAGTTATGCGATTGTACCTAATCTTCCTCATGGCAGTATTATCTATCTTCAACCTAATGGAATTTTAACCTTTTTTCGGGGAATTTATCCGTATCTCCAGAATAAATTCGTATTAATTACTGGTCAAAGTGATTATTCAGTGCCAGGTCAATATCTTTATTATCTTGAAAGATCCGATTCAAAAATTATTCATTGGTTTGGTCAAAATGGAGATATCGATGCATTGAGAAGTGAACGCTTTACTCATATACCAATTGGTAAGAATATGATATGGAATTTATCTTATTATGTATGCTTTTTCAAACAGAAAACTTAAATATTCTTTCAAAAAACAAAGAATAAACTTCATTTTATTCTTTCTCAGCGTCTTCTCAAAAGTTAAGGTATTTCATGTTTTATTCTTATGTCATATACGATGAATAATGATTTTTATCAACTAAAACTGTTAGACTTTGCACTTCAGTAAATATGCGAGATAGTAGTCATTCGATTACTTAGAAATGACATAGTACTGAATTTTACAAATAAGATGAATATCTATCTGATGATCTTTTATTACATAGTTGTGCCTTTGATATTTAGTTTCATGAAAATAATACTGTAATAAGGATGATAATGAATTAACATTCTCTTTACATTTGTTGCTTGATTAAGAACATTTGATAGATTTTGTCTTTTTTTAAAAGATACAAAAATAATATTTTCGATCTATTAAAAGTAATATATGAAAAATTATGATTAACATGTTCGTTTTTCGAACGTTTCTTTATCTCATTAAGTCTCTTTTATAGGTATCAATTGTTTTGAAATGGCAAAAAGTATTCGAAGTATTCATCGAGAATATCGTAATTATACTCTTCCATCGGTAGTCAATAAAAGTGTTGATGAACCATTTCATTATATACAACCATTCGATATTACACAAAGGGTTTTAAATAGTAATAATCAATCTGATAAATTACTTCTTCTCAACTTTCATCCTGACACTGATCCAGATGGATTACGTCGAAAATTATGGCAAAATATTTGTGAAAATAAAAAAAAATATTCATTTGTTACGTGTTTTGATAAGCCTTCAGGAGTAGATATAGAAATTTTACAAACTATTTATAAACGAAATCGTCAGTATCCATTATGGTTATCACCTCGTGGTAATGGAATTGATTGTCATCGAACATGGGAAGCTCTGTATCTTGATGCTATTCCAATTGTTTGGCATTCAACAATTGATTCATTATATTCAGATTTACCTATTATAATTATTAATAATTGGAATGAAATCAATGAACAATTTCTTCGAAATAAATTATATGAAATAGCTTTAAAAAAGCTTCAACAACCATCCGTATATCGATATGAAAAATTAAGACATTCTTTTTGGCGTGATATGATTTTTAAAAAATCGAGACATTCTTCTGCACACACTCATATACACAAAAATCGATGTTGGCAAGCTAAAACTATTCAATAATGTTAAATAGAATTGACTTGTAATAAATATTTGAAAAAAATGAAAATAAATGCGGAAACTTCGGATTTAAATCCGAGAGTTATGTGTACTTCAAAAAGTGAATCATACAAATCAATCATCCTAGACTGTCTGAATATCAAAATTATACTGTGAAATCTACCATTTAAAATCTTGATTTATATTGCGCGTTGCCAAACCAATAGGATATGGGACCGAATACAGCTCAAGTTTGAACTCTGCACCTTGATTTACTCTAAGAAAGTNTTTTTATGCTTATTTTAAGACATGTCTACCAAAATATTCATAAAAAATCAATAACACATAATTTAAAAATTCTGTCTGATGAAAAGTTGCGTACTGACATTGGCTTTAATTTGAAACCAACCCGAGCCCTGTACCTTGTACTATGACGGAGTGATGTCGATTTTCCTGAAGGCCAAAAATGACCTATGATTCAGCCGAAACTCCGGTCTGGTAAGACCAATCGCGCTGATATTTTTACCATAGGAGTATCTCTTCAGGATCACTCATCCCTGAAATTTTCAGCTCAAAAGACCTATTCTAACTGGGAAATCATTTCTAAGGGGGGAGCCACCCTTAATGGATCAATAAAATATCGTTTATTTTTTATGTAAAACTAACCTATTCTTGGTATTTTTTTTTTCAGGAAACTCATCGTTCTTTATCTCGACCTCAATCAGCTCGAAGTAATTTTCTTCATGCACATGAAAATACTGGACCGCAATATCTTCGATCACAATCTGTATCTGGTTCACGTCGAGGTTCAATCGCTTCATCTGTTGATTTAGTATAATTTTAAAGTTCAAAACAAATAATAAAAACGAATTTCTTTTTGTTTTTGCTATTTTCATAGAGTACAGCACAAATAGATAATAAATCAAAACCTGATTATGTAAAGATAAATTCACAATATGTAAAAAATATTCCAAAAGTCCGTAAAACAATGAGTGAAGAAGTCGTCGAACAAGTACGTGCAAAAAAAGAACAACAATTACAAGATTATTATGAAAAACAAAAAGGCCGTGTACCTGATTAGTAAATTTTATTCAAAAATAAAAAAATAAAATAATATTTTGATCTTTTTACTTTTAGTATTGAAAGAATTAGAGAAAAACGAACACAAGAAATAGATGATGAACGTGCTAATGCACCCGATCCCGATTGTCCGGCTGGTCATGTCAAAGTTGATAATGAAAAACGTTTATCAACATTACGACAACTTGAACTAAGTAATGAATAAATATATATGAATTGATTTTATTTATTGATATTCTTTTTCTTCTAATTTAGGTCGAGCTGAACTTGAAAAAAAAATTAGTCATTTACCTATTCGTAACGATTCATTAACACTTCGACGAACAAAAGAAGACATTGAAAAGAAAATTATTGAATTAGATGAAGCTATTAAAATTTTTTCTAAACCAAAAGTATTTGTTAAACTTGAAGAATGAATATCTATGAGAAATATAGATATTTTTTTTTTTTGTTATTTTTCTATAATTTGTGTATGGACAATAAAGTATTTGCAGTGCTATATGATTGCCATGTACAAACAATTTGGTTAGCATAATGTTTCAATAGATGATTTATAAGACTTCGATATATCGAAATGTTTTCTACGTGCGTAGAAACTTCTGTTTGTAAAGTATAGAGATATGTTAAAAGATTCTTGCTATTACGAAAAACATATTCCTATTAATTATCTCAAGTTTGTTATATTATAAAATTATTATTGGAAAAACAGGACATCCGTGTACTAAATGAATTAGTTTCGGTATGAGAATGTAATTTTGTTTGTAGATTTCTTTTATTTTTATATGATTCTATACAGTACTGTGACTTTATTACTGTAGTTTTGAAAACTAACATAAATGATAACCGTATACACTGTAATAATATTTATTGATTTCGTTGAGTCATTAGTTAATAAATTGCATCAACAAACAAATTTCTACATAAACATCTTTATCATATGGCGTTCACATATGATTTCTAGATGAACATGAATTTTTCTATAGTTTTATTCATATTTTGTTTGATGGATATTTGTCAATGATTCTAACAATTATAATTTTATCATCTAGAATTTCGTTAATTATTGTCTGTCTATGTCGAATTTCAGCAAAAAACCAATTTTAAATCTGTCACATGCTTTACAAAATGTTAGATTAATGTTGACATCATTGAAATAATATAATGACATAAAGAATTTTATCAATCCTATTATAATTCAATTGATGATTGAATAAGAATTTTAGATAAATTGATTTGTACATAGAATACTACTTAATTAATATTGAAGATGTTTTATTGACGCTACAATAAATAATGCATAGTTATGGTCCTATATTGAAATATGCATATTACTTGATATATATATATATATATTTAAAGTAAGAAGACGCGCTTGTTTAGGCGGAAACAGGAAATTAGAAACGACGACTGGTCCTTCGCTTGTAGAGAAAACGCGTTAATTCATTCATCAACTCGATTCTTGTCCATTATCACTGTACGACGATAGTGACGTTAACGCAACGACATTCTTTGTCGCTCTCTTTTTCTTTTTTTCTCCTTTTTTTTTGCTTTCTATGTGTGAATGTCTTCCGGTCTTCGTTCATGTTCAATACTTTTTTCTCCTCCTCTCTTACTACATAATAAGTAGCACATCAACGTGGTAAAGACAGTGAGGTTCCTAGTTTTTTTTTTCTTCTCATTACTATCTTTCTTTCTCTCTCTCTCTGGTTGTGTTAGTTAAATAAAATATCGTTGTCCGTCTATATGTATGAACCATCCATCATCGCTCTAAACTTTGACGCTTACCGATCTAAATTTGAATGTCTAGTAGATAAGAGAACAATAACTGACTGATGATAGTATGTATGTATGTATAAAAGAATGTATTGTCCGGTTTACATATGCCTACATCACCTGTCAAATTATATAGACGGCAAAAAAATGTAAGTAATGGAAAGTGAAATCTCACACTTGTACCGCCTCTCATGTGCCCCTGTCTAGGTATGTCGTAATAAAATGAAAGATATTTCATTAGTGTATACACTCCTGAATACCTTCACATACGTTAGAAAAGTTATTAAAAAACTTAGCCAAGCACAACGAGAATAACCATAAAGAACACATGATGTCTACTTCATGTTGATTGAATATAACAAATTACAAAAAAAAAAAAAAAAAAAAAGAAAAGACTATCTTGTTTTTTTCTTCTTTTCTTTTATTAGATCATTCATCTTAAAGCATGGTTTATATACGATTTCATTTACCTGTATTATTACCTTCTTATTCAATTGTTACACGTAATGTAAATTATAATCTTATTCGATTATATTCTATATGTCTGATATTTTTTTCTCAAATTATCATATCGTCATGTTCAAAATTTGACGATAAAGCATTAACTATTGCTAAAACGATCGATGATTATCTTTGTCAAAATTTTGTTCATACCTGTTTTTTCCGTCAACGATATCATACATCACATGATAATCAACAACAATTTGACAATTGTAAATCTCTTTTGATTTTACATTCATGTCTTTATTATGATACCGATACAATACGCATGTGCCATCAATCACAACTCAATCTTGTTAAAATAAATCTCGGTAATGAAGCACCAAGACATTGTTTTACATCATCTGTATATAAAAATTTTTATGCTCAACATCTGCGTTCGATTTCACCAGCAAGAACTACTGTCAAGTGCCAAATATTCATGCTTTTTTTCTTACTTATCTCATTTGTCATTAAGATAAAAGTGTGTTGTTGACATTACGTTTCTGTGAATGTAAAGGCATGTGCCATCGCTTTATTAAAAACTTTTAAGATGAAGAATATAGAAAAGAAAAGAAAAGAAAAGACAATTTAATTTTCTCAGGTAATAAACACATGAATAATTTGTTCATTTATATATTCTGGACAATGACAAAACAGTATCAGTATTGCCTGTTACGAGAGTGAGAACAGGCAAATAGGCTACATCCCGAAAATTGATTGCTAATGTGTTTCGTGCATGTTCTTCCTTCTCTATCCGTTGATCAAGTTACAACAACAATGCCAGAGGGTTGAGCGAGATTGTGTTAAACAAGCATTTTTTTTTCTTTCTTTTTTTTTTTTCTTTGCCTTCCATTAATGCATACATTACATCTATTAAGTTCATCTTTTACGACCAGAGTCTCTAGTGACATATCGAATCAACATTTTTCTTCGATTACTGATCGAAATGCGTACATCATCGATCGGTTGAACGATTAGATTATAATTTATTTTAACATAAGTCAAAAAATGAAATAGAAAGGCCATCTAGCATTAGTACTTTAGGGAATAAATTGCACGCTCTAGAGTTTAATCAACGTTTGTATCAACTGATTTCCATGTCATTCATGTTTTTTGTTCATCGAAAAAAAAAAAAAAGAGAAAATCACGACAATCATACTGAAGGGAAGAAAAAAAAATGGCAATAGGAAATGATTGGTATATAATTATTCAAGTGACAAAATAAATAGAACAATAATATTGAAGAGGTTTTTGCTTTTTTGTTATGTTTCAAGTAGTTTCAATGCTTGTTTTCCATCAACTTCTTCCATTTCTTTGAGAAGTAATGCTGTATTATAACGTAGTTCATTAAATTTTTTAATTGGAACCTTTAAAACAAAAAATTAATGAAAATAATGAAAAATATTCAATGATCATTTACTTCAAATGTTAAACATCGATTATCACTTGTACGAAATTGAAAAAAAAGTAATGGTTCAATACAACGTGATAAAGATCTAAAAGTAAATAATAGATAAAAGAAGAAGAAGAAGAAGAACAAATAAATCTCATCTCGATGCATACGCTGTAGTTAGAGTAACATCAAGATTCCAATCAAATGATTGGAGAAATGGAAGACGAGGACGATCACGTTCTTGAATAGCATTATACAATTGATCACGTCTATCAATGAAAATATAATTAATAAAAGCAAATTTACATTAGAAATTGTATAGATACTTAGCACCAAAAAGAATATTATGGAATGTTTCAACTATTTGTTCGGAAAATCTAAATAACAAAAAAAAAAAAAAAGAAATTGTTTCTATTTTGAAGGAAAAAAATTTAATTTATACTTTAAATCACGTAAATCATCTTTGAATATCTAAAATTAGAAGAAAAACAAAAAGAATTTTTATTTAATTCTTAAATAATTAATATATGTATAAATTACATCTGGTTTAAGAAATGCCGCAGGTGGTTTTAATGCTAAGCGAAGAACATGAACAAAACCATTAAAAATAATTAATAAATATTCAATAGAAATCGAATATTTTTTTGAATATTTCATTAAAACTTCAAGAGATGATGATGATGATGTTTGTTCATTTAAAATTTGAGCTTCACTCACTAAAATCATATAAAGAAATTTCAATAGATGAACAATTTGTTTGTGTTTTTTTTTTCTTTTAATTTACTTAAAATAAGTTTTTTAATTGCTTCAAATGGTAATGAATTACATTCTTTAAGTTTTTGTAAACATAATGATATTGCTTTTGGTGTAATCCATCCATAGAATGGATCTTGATAAGAATGATGATCAGGCATTTGAATAAAGACTAGATTTAATAGAACGATTCTTAATCTTTCCAAAAAAAACGAATAAAGATGACAAGGTAAAACAAGAACGAAAGAAAAAAATGATATACAGATGGAGCTATTAGGTAAGAACATGAAAATAATTTCATTTTGTAATTCAAGCGAAAGAAATAATAGATAGAGAAAAATAATTTTCTTTTTCGATTGCATTACATGATTCAATGAATGACATCTACTTGTTATAGAATCTGTTGTAATCTATTAGATTTTGTATAAAGAATTATTTCGTATTCAAAACATAATTCATTGTTAGCTAATACTCGAAAGACTGTAACAATTATGTAGAATATGATGACGCATGCTTTTTGTTTATTAGACAGCAAGACACAGTAGTATGGAAAAAAGCGGTAGTTCTTGATTGATTTACTTGTTTTCAAGATAAATATTCGACAAAATGAATTTATGATCAGATCAAGTGTTTTTGTTTTTGGTAGACTTTTCCAGAGAATTAATTAATCTTCTTGTTTGCAGTCCAAACAACACTTCATAAAAAATGAGTCAGCAGCAAAATATTCGATTACTTTTAAAAAAACAAATAAGATTGTTTTCGTTGCAGACATTGTTTATTAAACAGACTAGAGATTGTTACCAAAGATGTGTGGTACATTCTAAAAGCACATTTGACATAGAATTGTTTTACTAATATGAAGTCTCTTAGGAATTTGCATAGAATTTAAAAACGAAATAAGTTTGTAAACATGATAGACGCTATTTACTAAATCATATAACACACTCAATAGACTGTTATCTTTTTCTTGCTTCGTTCTAATCTAATAATAATAGAAGTTTCTAGAGAATTAAATTCTATATTTTCTAAATGAAATGTTAAAATCATGTTTTAATTATTTCGTTCAGAATATTTTCAAAGAAAAAAAAAAATCTTAAAATTTTCACCATACAGATTTGAATAAAACACTACAGCAGTTAACCCGTAGCATTTATTGGTAGTGATAAAAACCGGCGATGGTGCGAATAAACATGAGTATTTATATTAAGAATGAGAGAGATGAATTGAACAGTTTTCAAAAAAATTAAATATTAGTTTTTTTCTTGTTGAACCATTGAATCTTCTTGCAAAATAACTTCTATAAATACATATGTTTGTCAAATTTTCGTTTTTTAATTTAGAATTTATCATTGAAAAAATAATTCGTTTCAGATTGCAGATTAAAATATTCTGCAATGAGCACTCGGAATTCGGAATGAAATGTATTTAAACATGGATGTTATATGATCGAAAAAAAAATTAAGAAAAAAAGAAAGCAATCGAGATTATAATTTCTTTTTTCGTTTTCTTTCATAATTTATTTAGATCTTGAAGAAATTCATTGACAAAGATTACTTAATTGAAAAACTTGAAATATTTCTTTTATTTACATATTTTGCTATCGATGATTTTCGAACAAATCTATTTCCAATAATTCTCATTATTTTCGACTAATTGAAAAACAATAATCATTGTTTGCTCAAGATTTTTTTTTATCACAGTAACAATATAGTAATACGTAAATACAGTGGCGCCACTTATCAGTTTTCATCAATTTTGCATAAGAGGAAATTTTAAAAACAACATAAAGAACTAAAAAATTAATTTTCGTTTGGTTTTTTTAATAATACATTGTAACAATCATACTATGACAATATTAATTTTAACATTTGATCTTTCTTTGATTGATATGGATACCTTGGCAACATCAATAATAATGATGATCATAACATGTGCGACATCGTTAAAAGAAAAAAGAAAAAAAGGAACTTTTTATTTTATTACTTTTAGAGATCATATCTTTTGTTGTTCTTATTAATCTCTCACATTGACTATCCAGCAATTCATGATGGTGCTTACTATATTTTGGTGCTTTTAAATTATTTTATTTATCTAAAAAGGAAAACAAAAGATAATGAATAGAAATGGCCTTGTATTTGTTCCACGTGAACCACCAAAACGTGTTATTCTTTATCCAACTCAAGACTCATCCAATCAACAACCTAATGGACTTTATACAAGAGCAAAGACAGCTCTTGTAACTAATAATCATAATGAAACAATCGAACAATCAAATAATAATACTCGCCTTTCACGGCAGCAACCATTCTCTAGTCCACCGAATAATGTATCAAGATTCACAGAAAAACCTGGTAAAATCCTCAGATTTTCATTTCATATTCATTTTTTTTACTGCTCAAAATTTGTTTTAGATAATGATAGGACAGGAGTAAATGTTTCAGGGTAGGTTATTTTTTATTTTTTTCTCAAAACATCATATCTATATGTCAATTAGACAACCAACAACTGTAAATGTTGGTCAAAAAGTTCAAATTCCCTACAGTGCAAATCCATTTTTTCGTCCTAAAATTATTCCTAATCAACAACCAACAACAAATACAAATTTACCACCACCACCACCACCTACTCGTGATTCTTCAACAGTATCTACAAATTCTAATATTCAAACAATAACACCTTCAACAACAACAATAATAGCAAATAGAGAAAAACAATCTGTTTATCCTAAAACTCAAAGTTCAATTCTCTTATCTAATGGACAAACACAAGATTCTGAAACAATAACTAATACATCTTCTATACAAGATGATAATCGTCGTTGGGCTCATTCTGTTCCATCAGCATCTATTGCACGACGTGCTATTAGTGATGAACGTTCAAATGGAACATTAAAATCATCAGAAATAAATGTAAGATTAATATAAACAGAGTTTTTTTATCAACATTTTTCTATTTTTAAAGATAATAAATCCAATAAATAATGATTCTCTCAAACAGAAAGGTACTTCAGCTACAGACATTGTTATATCTCTTATGGATACATGGGTAAAAAAAATATCTTCTTTTTATTTTCATATTAAAACACAACAAAAAAAATTTCTTATCGTTTAAGCGTGCACCAATAAATATTGGAAATACATCAGCTATTAATATATTTCCTCGTACGGGTATTATAAAAGATGATTCAACAATATCTGGTCAAACATTAACTACAGGTCAACAATTACCTAATACACCACCATTTTTAACTGGTGGTACATCATCAACAGCAAGTAATAATAATCAAAATTGGAAAAAAGCTTTATTAGCTAATTTTCAAAAAAATTCTCGTAATATTCCAACAGCGAAATTATTTCATTCGAAACAAACAACAACATCATCACAACCACCAACTACATTAAATAATGATACAACAATAAATCAACAGCAACAAAAATCTGAACGAACAATAATTTTTAATGGAATTAATAATGAACGTACATTTCAAGCCAATGAAAATACACCAAATATACAATCATTAATAAAAAAATCAAGTGAAAGTCTACGAGTAACAAAACAAGATGATAATAATAATAATATTGAACGTTCAACATCTTTACAGGTTTATATATATATATATAAATATTTGTTTTTGATTAATCATTCTAAAACTATAAAATAAATCTTTATTATAGATTCAAGGAACTGGATATTCGAATCCAATAATAACAACAAATAAAACTGAAGAAACAATTAAACTAATAGAAATATCAAACTCAGAAAATATTCCACATATGCCTATATCGATTCCAGCAGCATTAATTACAGCTAAACCACCAGCTAATGTTGAACAACAAAGAGCAATTATTACAAGAGTAAAAAAATCTTATACAAATGTCTTTGTATATATATATATACATAATATTTTAGGTTATGATACGTCGAGATTTTGTTAAAACAACGGAATCAAAACCACCTATGCCAACAGCAGCTAATATACGTTCATTGATTCCTGCTAAATCAGCTAAACCCGGTGGACTTCCAACAAATAATATTATTCAAGTAGCAACTATAACAGAAAATACTACTGTATTGAATTCTAATATAAATTCTAATCGTATGTATCCATTACAATCACAGCCACAACAGCAGCAGCAGCAGCAGCAACAATTACAACGACAACAACCACTACTACAGCAACAGCAACCACAACAGCAACATCAACAATCAATACCTTTATCTCAAAAAAGTCTTTTATCATTTACATTAATTAATCCAACAATAAAAGAACCAATAAAAATTGAAAATAATCAACAACAATTAAATGTCATAACTAATGATGGAATAACTCCATCATCCATAATGAAAACGCAGCAATCACAAATATCTATAAATAATGGTCCTGCTTTTCGATCAAATAGTTTATCAGCTGCTACTGTTGAATTACGAAGAAAAAAAGAAGAGATTAATAATAAAATAAAAAAGAGAGCCGTTAGTGCATCGGCTGTATCAAATGACGGGTAAGACTTAGACAATAGTTAACCTTTATATTATTAGAAGATTTTTTATGAAGTAGAAAGACCTTTTAATTTTTATTTTATGTTAAATCGGAAGCAGACATAAAAAGAAAGGTTGATTATTATATAGATTGAAACAAAAGTCATTTTATCGAAAAGAAAAATGAATATCATTGATCTATTTCATTAAGTAGATTAAATTCACAAGAGTAACGTTGATTATAGGGAAAAAAAAAAGGAAATGCTTTATAAAAATTGTGTTCGTTAACAAGTTGTAATAAACTAATACCAAGCCAACAAAAATCAATAAGTGAGTTCATTTTTTCACTTTTATAGTATGGTAAATCTTAAGATTATCTTAGTAAATTATTGTATAGTTAATTTGTATAGCTCTGATGACAGTTTCAGGAGAGTTCCTGATAACATTGTCACACAATTAAAATATTGGTTTCGTTCATATGCTAATAGTATCGTTAGAACAATCATATGCATTATATTTTCATGCAAAGTAGTTGGATGACTAGTGAAAGAAACGAGAAAATAGAATGACTTGAGAATTTCTACTTTTCTCTTCTACAATGAGAGTTTAAAATAAAAACGAATAGTGTTTTTCCTTTTGTTTTTTGTTTTTTTCTTTTTTTTATATAAATATTATTTTGATAAAAGAAATAAGGAAAATGTTTTAATAGTACCTGCAATTTACACTCAATTTTTTTTTCAAAAAGCATTTCTTTCGTCACTAAGTAATCATATAATAAATGAAGACATTTTATCGACGATAAATACAGTGTGGGTGGTAAATAACTAGACGAAAAAAAAATTCAATGTCTTCAATTTGCTTTAATCGATCGAGCTGATTTTTTTCATGGTACTATATGACTTGTCAAAGGTTTTATCCATGCGGAAACTGTTAACAAGATACTTTGAAGAACAAGTATCATTGATCTCAATGAGGAGATGTACTTTTGATCAAGTTTATCTTATCCTGCAATTCCAGTCACTCGTACAGAAACATATGTAAAACTTTTAGAGTATGTACTATGTCTTAAATGTAGGTCAGTGAGGTGGATTTGACCCCGTTTACTTCTAATTGAAGAGGAGCTATGATCTATGATAATCCGTTTCATTGTGAGTTCTATAACTCAAGATCGATAAACAAGTCATTGTGTAGTCCTTTAATGCAGCTTTTTTCAAAGCCAATGAATATTTTACATAGTTATAGATTGACCAAGTCGTAACTTCGTTCTCTTCTTAAGTTATAGAACTCAGAGTGAGAGGTACTATCATACATTATAATTCCTCTTTAGCTCAAGCTATCAAGACTAAACTGGTCTTGTTGGCCTACATTTCTAAGATAGTACATACACTAACAATTTTAGATGTGTATTCTTAAGGCCGATCAAGGTTCTAGGGAAATACTTTCTGTCAGTAGTGTAAGTGTTCATTGAGATCAATAGTACCACTTCAAAATAGTATTCATTGACGGTTTTGTTGTGAATAAAAACTTTGAAAAGTTCTCTATCACCGAGAAAAAAAAGTAAGGCCGATTAATTAAAGCAAACTGAAGCTATTGAGTGTTTTCATCATTTAGTTATTTATGGCCTATCGTGTATTTTGTTCGGCTTCTAATGTGATAATCTTTACACAAAAGAAAACACGCACGATATATGGCATTTCTTTTTTTACCTCTTAATGATTGCTGCAGAAGTCATTCAATGGTTTCGCATCTTTTTATCTGCTAAACCATTCGAAAGCTTGTGAAACACATTTAATTTATTAGTAAATATTTTCGTCGATAATATAAATCATACAAAACGTCTCTGAAAAGTATTTTGCTTGCAATTAGAAAAGACGTCTAAGAAAAATATTATTTTTTTAAAACTCATTAGTTTTATACGTCATGACTTTTAAAGACAAAGCAATGAAACAAAACAAAATCTTTTTTTTTAGCAACCAATAGTTCATAAAGTTCTCTACAACTAACATAGAGCTAGATGTAGGTCACATGATTGAATTGTTTTTTCAATGATGTTTGTGCTAATATTCACACTAGTCAGCATTCGACAATAGAGTGTTAATCAACGTTATGACTTTCAGGAGAATTGTTATGTGAATCTGAAAGCTAGCTGATTGCTCCTGATTTGTCCGTAGTTCATGTTTTATGTATGATATTCAACTCCATATATTGTAAATCAATTGATTTAAATAAAACAGGACCGAATGGTCCTGTTTTGTGATAATTAAAAAAGAAACACAACATGTCATAGAAAAATATACGATCTAAACATTTCCAAGAATCAGATTAATAAGAGTTGTTGTGTTTCATTTTAAATGTTTCTCAAATAAATGTAGAGAAGAAATTTTAAATACGTATATTAGTTATAATCTGTTTTTTATTTATGAATATTATTCATAAAAAAATTGATCAAAATTCGAATATATTAAAGAATATCAACATAGCTTCTATAATTTCTTAATTTCCTGTTTTATACTTTTTTTTCTAAATACAAACAATTATTGAGAAGAGTTTATTATTATTATTATTATTATTTGTTAATCAAAGATCATGCAATTGAAAACGAACAGGATATCCGGCATATTGAAATATTTCATTCATGCATCAGTCTTGTGAAAGATGCAATAAAAAAAAAAAAAATTTCTTTTTATAGATGCATATGTTTTCATACGTTCTGTATGATTTTAAAAGCGAAACTAAATCGATTATGTATTTTAAAAAAATCTCATTTCGAAATCTTTCTATCGAAATATTAAATCTGCTTAACTATTATTTTACTTGTTTGATATAATGATAATTCACTTAATTCATATTGAAGTTATGTCAAGCTTTTAAATCCATCTTGTTTTTTTTTTGCCTCTCTCCTGTCAACATTTAAAAAGTACTTCACTATGTCAAAAAAAAAAGAAATCAATGGTATTTGCACAACAACATCACCAGAAAACAAGAGACATTCTGTCGACTATATACATAAATATATATAATTTACTTTTTGAATACATACATTGTATTTTGTTTGTCAGTTGATTGATTGGAGTGATTTCAAAAGGAAATGTGTGAAAAAGTCTTTCACATTAAAGCTCAATTTCATTTATTCATGAAAATAAGAGAAAGAAAAAAAGAGAGAAAATTATGACTTTTGTCACCATCGTTGCATACCATCGATCAATACCATTGGACAATGTAGAGAAAGAAAAAAAGTAGTAAAAGAGTTTCATAAGTGTGTATGAGCAATGAAGCAAAGGAATTCTTTTCTTTTTCTTTCGCTGTCTCTCTTTGTCTTATTCCATTTCTACTATTCGATAAAAAGAAAACACAAATAATGGTCTATTTCGATCGCCTCTTGTTTTTTGCTCTCGCTGTTTTTTCTACTGCCCTGAAATTGAAACCATTCTTTGATTCTTTCTCTTTCTCTATGTTCTGATGGTAACGAAGAGAAGAAGAGAACATAAAATGGAATTCATTATTTGACAAAAAGAAAAAAAGAAGGAGTAACCGGAGAGAGTTTGAAGTTGGCCTGATTGTGTACGTACGTGTCATTTGACGAATAAATGAACCTGGACGTGTCGTTCGTACGTTCATACATTGTGCCAGTTTCATCATCAGGCCATCATCATCATCATCATCATTTATCTTCATCTAATTCAAATGCTAATTTTCAAAAATTATTGCAACGTCGTCAAGATCTATGTAATTCAGCTAAAAAACGACCAGAAATAACAACAAAATTTGATCAAACAATAACATTTATCGAACAATTAAAACGTAATCAACATAAATCATTAGCAGATGTAAATCGCTTATCAAGACAAATACCTCAAGAGAATAGTAATGATAAAAGAACTTTAACACCACAAGATTTAAGTAATCAAGTTAATTTAAAACTTGAATATCTTATACGAACACGTGTTATTGAACGACATCGTGTTGTTACTCGAACAAGTATTTTACCAAGAACACCAGTTAAATCAAGAATAACACCAAGAATAACACCAAGAGACAGTTATAATCAGACAACACTATCAGATATCAGTCAATCAAGTCCAAAACATATTGTTTCATCATCAACTACAACAACAAATACGACCATATTTCAGGACGATCTTGTTGATAAAGAATCATTTGAAGAAAATGATGAGATTTTTGAGGAGTTGGTTGAAGAAGAAAATATTAATTTTCTACAACAACAACCGTAAGAAAATATTAAATTATAATGTTCATCATCCAAATCACCTATTCAGAGTTTCAAATAATAGAAGAAAAAATAATTGATAAAGATTATAACATAGAATAAAATCTCTTTAATATATGAGCAATATTGACAATGATCAAAAATGCTTACTTCACAGAGCTTTTCAGTTTGACAATGAAAATTGAAAATATTTTTCTAGTAATTTAGAATTAATGTGTTATTATTTAGTTTTTGATAGTAAATGATTATCTAATATTTGAAAAATATTAAAGAATTATGAAGTTCATTAGCAATTTATTGACAATAGAAAAAGAATTGTTTCATGTTTAAAATATTCTCTAAATTCAAAAAGTAATTCTCTATTCTTTCTAGGACATTGGATAAAGATCAATTTGAAATGGAAGATGAAGAATATGAAGCTGAACTTGAAGAAGAATCAGTTCGTAGTTCAGAAAGTGATGGTAAATCTTTCAATTATTTATAAAATTCGAAATATTTTTAATTTCTTCGTATTTTTCATAGTTGATATAGACAATGGATTTCCACTTGATCCAGCTTTACTTCTCTCCGATAAAAGTAAAGATTAAATTAGTTTAAAAAACAAAACAAATATGTTTTCTTTCTTTTACAGCTCGTCGAGTTGGTAATACAGAAGTTAAATCTGGTCTCATACCAAGTTTATTTAATAATGTTCCACCAACTATTCGATTTTGTACAGAAAATCAACGAAGTATAAATTTTATTTTTTTTGTTTTTATAAGTTTCTTTATTTAATCTTATTAAATTTAGTTGAACCACT